ATATATATGCCATATATACCAAGAATAACAGCATGAATTCACGCCCGGATGACAGAAGAATATTAATATTAGTCAATTCAACAAAAACAAGTAGCAAAAAATCGTAAACGACAACGAAATAGCACAACTTGCAAGAAATCGTACAAATTTGCAAGAAATCGACCAAGAACTGCCAGGCGTCTCGCAGTTCAAGTGCACTCTTCCCATCAGCCCCTTCGCCATCTCTCCCCATTACAATACTTCATGTAAACACGTCATATGGGCATCACTGTTTTTTTACAAAGAGACGCCTGGGTACGAGGCAGCGACTTTCGGCAGAGCGTTGACTTTTACTCTTTTCACATGAGGACTGGGTTCGAGTCACATTGAGAAGTTCTCACTGAGATTTGAACCCACGGTCTTAGAGGTGAAAGGCAAGTGCGCTAACCACTTCGCCACCTGAATAAAAATAAGCTGAATATATAAAGCACTGCACACAGCTGAATATAAAGCTATTGCACCTGAATAAAAATAAGCTGAATATAAATAAATGGAGAAATAAGAATTTTGCGTTGGCAGATGAATATATAAATATGAGTCGGAAAAATCGGCTTTCTATGCTAAATTTGTATACAGATCACGCTGTCTGAAAAAATATTGAAGTTACTTACACTGCAAAACTACACTCAATATTCAAACATTTGAAAGCCAGGAATGGACAAAGCTGGTCAAAGCTAGAAAACATGACTGAACAAAAACCCTCTCGAAAGACTATCACAAATAGATCGATGTTTTCCGAAGGCTTTACGGAACGTCGCGATCTCGAACAATACTTCTGGACTACAGAATGCGTACATAAACTGATGGACGCCTTATGTTATCAATCTGACGCTTGTTGTCTGGAAACACCGAGTCTGGCCCACGCTTGGCATTTTGAGGAAAATAGATCAGAATGGCTTTTCGACATAGATGAACGATTTAACTACCTACCAAAGTTCAGATATTTTGACACCGGAAAATCAAGATGAAACATTTCGCGTTGTGATCTGTGATCCACCGTTCTTTTATATACCTATGGCACAAATATTCGAAGCTGTAGAGATGATTTGCAAGGGTGATTTTAGCACCAAAATATTGATAGGGTTTTTAAAACGAGAAGAGGCGACACTTTTAAAAACATTTGCACCATTTAGGTTGTCAAGGACTAACTTTCCCCTAGAATACGCTGATGTCAAGTCTAACAAGTGGACAAATTATGCATTGTATTCAAATATTGATTTGCCTGGAATTAAAAGAATACGAAAGTAATAGACGTATTTAGATGTTTGAAGTATTTTTGAGTTATATATACGCGGGTTACACTTGAAACCAGAAAAATTTAAAACAAGAGTCAAAAACTGGGGAATTTATATATTAGACCTAACCAAGAACTATAGGTCCCTGGCAGGAATCGAACCTGCGGCCCTGGTTCGCAGTTTCGGCCACATGTACAGGTTCGATTCCTGCCAGGGACCTAAAGTTACATTTTTCTCAGCTGTTCCTGGTTAGGTCTAATATATAAATTTCCACTCGATAATTTTCATCTACAAGATCCTTCAACTATTATTGAATCGAGTGAGTGCCAACAAAATCTTGATATGTTGGATGGTCTAGGATGATACAAATCGATTTATTGACTTGTGTGAAGGAAAACTTTCAGGCTTCGTGCTCCGTCTTTTTCACCGTGGTCTCATCTACAAGACCCTTCAACTATCATTCTACACAGCCTGCGCCATGAGACGCCTGCTACATCCTACATTTGATACAACTACCTGATTCCTGAAACATAGATCTTCGACGTTTTGAGCGAAGGTCCTTCTTCCTCGGGAAGTTTGTAGCCACTCAAACTTCCCGACAAAGGGCCGAGAAACGTCGAAGTTGTATTTTCAGGTAGTTGTATCCCTATCAATCTGAAACTTTCTTATTATTACCACTACCAACACTGACACAGATCTTTCAAGTTCTCCTTGTATTTTTCATTTAGTTGTATCCCTATCAATCTGAAACTTTCTTATTATTACCACTACCTACACTGGTACAGATCTTTCAAGTTCTCCTTGTATTTTTCATTTAGTTGTATCCCTATCAGTCTGAAACTTTCTTATTATTACCACTACCTACACTGACACAGATCTTTCAAGTTCTCCTTGTATTTTTCATTTAGTTGTATCCCTATCAATCTGAAACTTTCTTATTATTACCACAACCTACACTGGTACAGATCTTTCAAGTTCTCCTTGTATTTTTCATTTAGTTGTATCCCTATCAATCTGAAACTTTCTTATTATTACCACTACCTACACTGGTACAGATCTTTCAAGTTCTCCTTGTATTTTTCATTTAGTTGTATCCCTATCAATCTGAAACTTTCTTATTATTACCACAACCTACACTGACACAGATCTTTCAAGTTCTCCTTGTATTTTTCATTTAGTTGTATCCCTATCAATCTGAAACTTTCTTATTATTACCACTACCTACACTGACACAGATCTTTCAAGTTCTCCTTGTATTTTCATTTAGTTGTATCTCTATCAATCTGAATCTTTCTTATTATTGCTACTACCTACACTGGTACAGATCTTTCAAGTTCTCCTTGTATTTTCATTTAGTTGTATCCCTATCAATCTGAAACTTTCTTATTATTACCACTACCTACACTGACACAGATCTTTCAAGTTCTCCTTGTATTTTCATTTAGTTGTATCTCTATCAATCTGAATCTTTCTTATTATTGCTACTACCTACACTGGTACAGATCAGAGGAGGTTGGAAGCCCTTCCCGGCATGCATTGTAACTCATTAATATTATCGATTTCCCGGGACGCGCCGTCAATGTTCGACTAGCTCTCGTTGTGTTCACTACTCAATTTACAAGGAGCGGTATTCAAAAGTACAAATTGAAAATTGTAAATCATGGCGAATTTTCGTACTGTTCGTGGCAACAAAGCTACTGATTTGGATGGCCGTGACAATCTTTATGTACATTGTGTGTCGAAAGAGCGACTGGAGCTGCTTCGTGAAGGGATGTCGAACTTCTAGTTTTATGGATAACGACAATGGCGTATTAAAAAGTTGACTTTATATTATATGTTCGCCGAATGCGATAGTCCTTCATTGATAGAAATCTATTATAGTTGTGACCTTAAGGTACGATTATTTATGATTTAATTGGTGGGAAAATGGGCCATTTATACTCGGAAATCATACAAGTATTTGACTTTATGTCAAATCTATTTTAATATAAAAGCAGGGAGGAGGGGCAAAGGGGGCAAAAGTGCACTTTGAGTTATAGAAATTCTGCCTGCTAAATCTTATCTCCAGTTTTGGGCAAAGTCATGAGGTGTGAACTTGAATGTGACCTGATTAAGTGTGTTTGTGCAGTTATAGTTCCTTGAGTAGACTTTATTTCCAGAACACAGAACAGCTATTGTCAATGGAACATGCACAATCAGGCTTTCATTGGCAAGTCAACACATAATTGTAGGTCTATAAAGGTGCCCTTGCCTATTGTTCCAACGTCCCTGTATAAATGCATCAAATCTTTTTTACCTGTAGTACCGGTACTTATGTTGTGTTCTGTTGTGGGTCAGTTTAACATTATTCCATCACCAACTTCTGTAACAGTCTGACCACCCGAGCTGGATATTTTAGAGGATATACTGAATGACCTACCACTGGTGAATTTAGATGAGCCATTGTTATGCAATTGCATTAAGCAGCCATTAAATCCTATGTGTTTGGTTAAAATTCATGGTGAAGAGATGCCTGGTGATGTTGAAAGTATTAGTGCAGAAGGTAGAGTTGCAGACATGGACAAGATTGATGAAATTCAGCAGTTGACCCAATTGTTGGTTGTGGAACAGGCTACTGGTGATGCTAAATACATGAATGATTCAAGCTCTGATTAGGAGAATGATGGAGGCAAAGATTCTGAAGGACAAGGATTGTGGAGGAGACACATTGTATCTTGAGAATTAAGACAAGGATTGTGGAGGACACTAAATTTGTATCCTGAGAAGTTTGTTGTAGCTGGTTCCTGGGGAGAACAAAGATACCAATTTATGATAATCATGTATAGATGATCAAAAAATCTCAAGTTGAAATTTAAAGTAGAACATGAGCAAGACATTTTTAGTGAGATTTTCATATAAATTTATTCCTATTAAAACACTGTTATTATTTCAGGTAAATATTTGATATTAGTATTTTTGCACAAGTGAACATAACAAATCCTACAAGGTGATTGGTCAAATTTGACGAATTAATCTGTTATATTATAACCAAATCGAAATTTTCAAAATGGCAGCTAGCCGTTTTGTTGAAGTTAGTAATAAAGAAATAAGCGAAATTAAAATGAATTCAGACCAGAAAAATACAAAAAAACTTGTGCAAAAATACTAAAACAATTATTCGCCTCAGGCTCTGTGATTATCAGGGAATATTCACCTCGACTTCATCTCGGCAAATATTCCCCGATAATCACCTCGCCTTCAGCGAATAATTGTTAAATATAATTTTACCATTCCTTTTTCAAATAAATAAATGTTTTCAAACTCAATTTGCTGTGTTTGTTTACTGCAGCTATCAAATCCCTACTTTATCTTATAGTCCACCTTGTGCATGTGTTCTTAACACTGTTTTAACTGTTGTATATTTAGCACAGATGGATAACTGATCTAAAGATGGATCCAGTATGTGGTAGGGAGGGTGCTCTGCCAGCTCTGGTGCCGAGTTGTGTCAGTCATGTGCGCTGCCCACCCATCAACTTACTTGACTACAGCAAAGTTTTGCTTGACTACTCTATTGTAATTGTTGTTAACAAACAGTTTACTTATCATCGTGTTGTTACTCAAATTACTCATTTTGTCTCTAATATTTTTTGCTTTATCATGAAAATACCACCCCCCCTGCATACCCTCTGGCCAGGGCTAGGTGGGGGGTGCACACACCCCAGTAAATGATGTTAATAATATGCTTTATTCAAAGTTACAATATATAAAGTAAATACTTAAGATTCGTTGCAACATTTTGATGTCACCAATACACCAATATTTACATGTAAATGTCTACTAAAATATGTATCTATTAAAAGGCTGGTATGGGCAAATTTATATAACAGGTTGCTCTTATTATTCTGGTTCAATAGTTTCATTGCTTGAATCAGTTGAATGGATCATGAGCACAACTTGGCTGGATTAGATGTTATACCATTTGCCAAAGCAAGATGTAGGAACAGTTTGTTCAATAACAGTTCTAAATCAGCATTAAATTCATAAGTTCAACTTTTCCCATACTTAGGATCAACAATATAAACAACATTGCCATCATTGTCAGATTCCATTTTCACAAAATATATTCGAATTCTATAAAAATAATGGTAAAATACAGTCTATTTAACTTAAATGCAGCAGTTAAACTTAAGAACGATCGACATATATGCCCATGCTTCGAAATAAAACAAAAATAATAACGGCTCGTACAGTAATTTTCCTCGCGCCATAATTCCCATGCGGTCAACTATTCCCGCGATGGGCGACATAGTATACCGAAAATGCCCCATTTTCAAACCGCGATTACTCGTCAGTTTGATGGGGACAATTCATTTTTTAAACTTCTCATAGAAAGAACAACTCTTCCTGAATACGATGGCGTGTCTTTTATTTAATTTACTCATTTACAAACCCAATTGTCCCCAGCGGTTTTGAAAGCCACTTTTGACACTTGTGCATTGACCCGGAAAACAGGTCAATACAAATTGCGATTAACATATAACTAAACGTTATTAAAACACCAAATAAAGCAAAAACTGTTAATTTGACTCATATTTAAAACAATTATAAAAACTTACCTTCAAAAATACGAACTTTTCGTGGCGAAATATCGAAATAAATATCCACAACTTTTCCAACTAACATTGTGAAAAATCATGATTGTGAATATTAATGAGTTGCAATGCATGCTGGGAAGAGCTTCCACCCTCCTCTGCCCTCCCCCCATATATATATATATATATATATATATATATATATATATATATATATATATATATATATATATATATATATATATATATATATATATATATTATATACAAATTTATAGCGAGAATCTATTCGTCACAAAAAATCGAGACATATTTTAAACAGAACTAAACAGTTGCTAATCCCGGGTTAACATGGTTGTCAACGTCGTTGTTATTGTCAATATTTGCATGTTGTTCAACATTATTTAGCAAACCTCCTACATACATATATACTGTTAA